GGGGGAGGGGGAGGGATAGGGAGATGATGAAAAACAGAGACACAAAAGAACAATAAGAAATCAGGCAAGAAATTGGTTAGTAATTGGTCAAAACCCTGTCACACCAGATCAAGTATTGGAATCTTTGAAGTTGTTTAACTTATCCAGACCTATCCTATATAGTGTAATGGAAACACGACATTCGGCAATGTAGTCTATGTAAAAGCAATCTAAAAATGAGACAAATAGAATGGACCAGTATGTAGAGAATATTGGACTACCTTTCTTGATTTTCATCAACAACTTTATCTTTGTATAAGTTGGTCCTCATTAAATTTAGTCCTAAAATGCAAGTTTTAACAGAAATAGAAATGAATAATTTGAATATAGCCCTGTATTCCCTTCTCATTGACAGCCATGAAAAAAAAAAGGAAGCAGGGTAAGCTCTCAGTACATACAGCCGTTAACCGTTTCATATCTCCGTCAATATTCGACAAGAGAGATGGTTCACTACAAGTAGCTGAAGGATGGAATTGCTGGTATGTGTCCCGCCTGTTCTCATCAATAGAAAAATGTTTCTTTCCATACTTCATGTCAGCCCTCAAGATATTAGCTGCACGAAACAAGATAATTAGTCGTTTTTCATTAAAAAATGGTGTAGAGAAGTGACTGTCTTAGGTTTAAACCTGGAAACTCAGTATTCCAATCAGTTTCAGAATAACTTTCGCCATTACGCGAGCGATGAGCCAAGAATGCATCAGAGGAATGAAACTTTGAAGGCATAGGCCCCTTTCTTAGGTTATAAGAATTAGATCCAATAGCTTTGTCATCCCCACTAGCAAGAGTAGCACCCGAAGAAATCTCAGTGAAAACACGATCTAGAGGTGAATTTTCAACCGACTTCTTTAGGTTTTTGCCTGGAGGACGACCTCTACGAACTACCTTAGGCTCGCCATCCTCTCCTTCATGCCTCAAGTTTTCGAAATCTCTTCTTGCCAGCTCTTGAATGGTTCTTGCCTACAAAAGGAAGAGTTAAGGACAAAGGGGAGACAATGAAGAAATAACAAAAGGGCTAGAGAGATGCTAAAGATACCTGCCGATGGTAAACAGTATCTGGGGCATTATACTGCATTGCATTTGAGCATATCAAGAAAACATCAACCTACATGAATTACAATAATGTTGGAGATCAGAGTTATATTCAATTATACTCCAATGGCAACTTTTGAGAGGTGAAAACAGGAAGAAAATCCCACCGCACCGACCAAAATCACAGCCGAATGATATTTAAAATGAAAGAGAGAATTACCACAAATGAGACAATGACACAAGAAATATGAAAAGATCTCTGCATAAACTACACAAACTTTACTTTATCCAGTGAATGTGAAATTACTTTTACTACAACATAAATTTCCAAACACTTCAAAACTTCCTGCATCGAGACTTGTGTATATGCCATGTTCTTTTGACCTTCTTATACTTTTCTCTTTACCTTTTTTTTCCTTTTTGGATAAGGGTAAATTTTTATTGAAGATGAAAAGAAAACTAAATGAAGAGAAAGAAAAAGAAACAAGTTAATTCAGGTTCAGTTTTTACCAAGGGCATCGCAACAAACACAAAATCTCTAAAAATTACAGTTTTCCTGCTCTAAGAGAACACTGAGCGACACTAAACTTAGTCATCAAAATCCAGAAATAAGTATCTCTGTCGTGTCTTTATAAAAACTCACCTAGCCCTCCATCTTCTCCTATTACAAATGTTAAAAATAAATGCCCACTACTCCTACTCTTCCCTAAAACTTTAAAATCCAAATATTATGCCCAAAACAGTGCAACATCCAACTGACATATAAAAGATCCTTACTCCTCATTTAGCTACTATACTTTTCTTTAGTTTTCAACAAATTCACCAACCATTTAATAATACTCAAGATAACCGAATCAAATTATACTAACAGGAAAGTTAAGGGTGCTGTTCTCAGCTCAAGCTGCATTTGCAGGTACTTCATATCAGTAGACAATAAAAGGTCTCATCCAAACTGAATCCATTATAATCCAAATACAAGGAATTGTGACTACAAATTCCAGTGTGGCAATCCAAAACTGACCTCCAACTCTTCCAGGTTTGAGTAGAGTCCTCCATCAAGTTTCTTCCTCACGGTTCCGAAATCCATTGGATGCTCAATAATCTCATGATAATCAGGTAGCTGCAAATAAATTATTTCAATATCTACAGAGGATATAATTACCATCATACAATTCACCTCTACAGAAATGTACCTCATTTGGATCAACTGGCTCAGAGAATACACCATAAGTATCCTTCCTGCATTTTATTATTGAAATAAACTAATGCTTAAGTGTACCACGGAACCAAAAAAAACAGCCCAGTACAAGAAATATAAAGATATCCACTTAAGAAGTAAAACCATACTTTTGAAGCCTGTCCAGAATGAACACCAACAACTTTTTGTCTGGCAAAGGGGTTGTGGGGCCGGACACCAATGGCGATCCTATCCACAGAATAAATGTCAGCAATTAGATTTATATAAAAATCCAATCTTTACTAGGAATTCCCAACAATTTTTTTTTCTTTTTCTGTCAATTTTGAAGAATGAAAAAAAAGGCTTGGAATTGAACCATGTCCAGTGTCCGTCGCTATCAAAAGCTTCTCTTCCTGCAAATTTAACACAGGCATATGGTTGTTAGCTCAATTATTATAAACTTAAATTGGAGTATATTTAAAAGATGGGACATAAAAATTGAAAGTTACAGTAAAGGGGTCGCCTTGAAGTTGAAGTTGATGATGGAGCTATTTAGCTCCACAAAAAGCACATCAAGTACAAGTGAAATACACAAACAACTGAAACTAACTAAAAAGGACAAAACTTGCAACTTTCCCAAAAACTGATGCATATCTAGTTTGCACTCATAAAGTTTGATTGAGCATAAAGAATAAAAAACTGCGAGAAAAACAAATAAAAGAAGCAAAATAAGAAAAGACCCAAATTCAAAATTTTAAAATAGAAAAATTACTACTACTTTTTATGTAGAAAAATAGAAGATAAAAATGCATAAAGGGTCGGTGACTGAGTCAAAAAACATGCAGATCTTGAAAGTCATGAGGAAAAAAAAAAAGGAACGTTGTACTTACGCGCCAAATTTCCAAAAAAAATAATTATAGAATCACATCGAGAAACAGAAACCTCAAAAAAAAAAAAAAAAAAATCCCTCCAGCTTCTTCTTTTTCCCAAAATAGAAATACATTAAATAACTCAGCTTGAACTTTAAACGAAAATTGAGCACCTGATCAGAAACGACGTCGTTAGATCTAAGATCAACGGAGCTGATTTTACTTGTGTTAATAACAGAGGCTTCGCCTTCTTCAGGTTCGGAATCAGAATCTGAATTGGAAGAAGAATTATCCAAATGTTGTTGATTATTATTCGATTGGGGCAAACGAACAACGAGCTTGACTTTCTTCTCTTTCCTTTCATCCTCATCGTCGTCAAATTCCGGTGGCGGAGAATTCGAATTTGAATTAGGGTTCCGGCGAGAAGAACGGCGAATAACAGAAATTTCCCTTTTGGAAAGATCTGATAAAGATGGCCTACCTTTCTTCTTCTTTCTCTTCATTTCCATTGTTGTTGTTGTTGTTGTCTCCGTTTGTTGTTTCTATGGGTACTGCTCCTCTTGTTGGTATTTTTACCTTACCCGTTTCCAACTTCTTCTTATTTTCTCTCTCTTCAAATGGGATTTGGAATTTTTCTTTTTCTTTTTCTTTTCTTTTTCTTTTTCTAATTTAGTTTTTGTTTGTCTTGTATTCTCTTTAAATTTAAATTTTCGAGCTTATATGAGAGAGTGTGTCCATGAGGAAATAGATGGGATAACTAAGAGTCAGTTTGGCTTAGCTGATTTAGAGTAACTGATAAGTATAGGTGTTTAAAAGCACTTTTAAGTGCTGAAGCTGATTTAAAAAATAAGCAATTACGTGTTTGGATAAAAGTGCTGAAATTAATAATAAGCAGCTAAAAAATTGGGTATACAAAGAGTTTTGTTTTAAAAAGAAGTATTTTAGGGATAGAATAGTAAATATTTTGGTCAAACCTAAAGTGCTTATAAGCTGAATTTGATAAGCTGGGGGAGACCAACTTATGGCTTTTGGCTTATTTTTGGCTTATAAGCACTTAACTTATAAGCACTTTTAATTTTACCAAACGCGTAGATAAGCCAAAAAGTGCTTATAAGCCAGTTTGACCAGCTTATAAGCTTAGCCAAACAACCTCTAAGTGCCCGTTGGGACGTAAGAACCGTAAAAATTCGGAAAAAGTTAAAAACAAAAAATTAAGTAAAAATTTTATTTGAAAATTAGAGTTATATTTAGACATGAATATAATTTTGAGTTATTTTTTCAAAAAAAATTTGTAAGTGATCTGAAATGAAAATTTTAAAAAATAATTTTTTGGAATTTTTAAAATTTTCAAAATATACCAAAATTTATCTTCAAGTAAAAATTAAAAATTTTATGGCCAAACATATGTTACACAAGCCCCAAAGGATGTGTAAGGATGAATAAATTTTCTTAATAATTAATGAAAGATCCTAAAATAAAAAGTTACACGTAAGATTTGGAGTTGCTTGCTAAGCGTATAAGTTAGTCAAATTAGTTTATAATTTTTCAAAATAATTACGCATTTGGTGAAATCAAAACTACTTTTAAATTAGGGGGTCGTTTGGTTTGAAGACAAGTGAAGTTGGGATCAGTTACGATGAGATTAGTTATGCTGGTACTAGATATCGTTGTATTATTTCTTATTGACGGTTTGGTATATTGTATTAATCCTGAGATTGTCAATTTTACAACTTTATCCTGGGATTACTATTCCACTCTCTGGTATAAGTTATCCCGGTACTGCTTTTAATCTTGGAATAACTTATCTCAGAATTAGTAACCAAACTACGGATAAGGCGATATTAAATTTTTATCTCATGATTATTTTTCCTTATCCATCGTACCAAACGACCCGTAAGCTGTGTTTATAAGTTAAAAGTCGTAAGTGGTTTTATAATTTATAAGCACTTTGGTTTGACTAAGTCTTTTATAATTTTATTCTTACTATATTTTGTAATCTTCGAAATACTCTTCTAAAAATATCACTTTTAATTATTTATGTATTCTATTCTTGTCATTCGTTCTTTTATGTAAAAATAATTTTAGTTATTTTATTAGAAAAAGTAATTAATCAACATCTTTTTCCTAGACACATTAACTATTTGTTATAAAAAAGTTAGTGCCTATATCTAAACAGACAATTAATTATTTATAAATTAGCTTCTTGATGCTTATAAGCTATTTTTAATTCAAACAATTCTATTTAACAATTCTTAAGCGGTGCAAATCTAACTTAATGAAGCCTTATACGACACAAATCTAAATTAATCGAATACAAAAGCAAGTATATGACAAGAAAATATAAATAAATTATAAAACATAAAAGAAAAGTAGACGCGTGACCGAGGCGTTATATTATGATGGCGAAACGACTGTCTTCACCTCCTTACGCGCGTTATAACTCGTGATGATGCGTTTTCTTATTTTTGTTCCTTTTTTATATATTGTTTAATTCCATATGTTAGTTTATTTTCCATTTTATATTTTGAAGCTTGTGTTCAATGTGAGCTTAAAACATATTCTGTAGTCATTCTAGTACTAGTATTATATGCGTGTGTACGGAAAGATGTTTCGAGTTTACTTATTTTACAGTAGATATTTTACCCATAAAAAGATAAAATTTTCAAAAAGAAGACTAAAAGTATAAATAGAAAATAATATCAGGAAAGTCACACATAATCCTAGATTATAACTTACCCACACTCAGTTTTTATTCTTAAACATAATTAAATGAGTATATATTTTTATTTTACTTTTTAATTGCTAATATTAACTTTATATAATTTGGCGCAAATTTGGAGTGTGAATATATATTTAACTAGAGGCATGTAGGTATTTTTCTATCAACAATTTCCAAGTCTTTACCTCATCTCAAAACAAAATCAGCATTGGGCCCCACAAAACCTGGACATAGGCATGACATATACGTCCAACTGCTGCAAATGCTTTACAACTTTAGCTACTTAAAAATAATTTTATTTTGTATCTCATACAACTAATAGCTTGTTTGGCCAAGCTGGAGAAATCAGTTTATTTTGAGAAGTGTCTTTTTTAAAAGTGCTTTTGAAAAAAATACTTTTGGAGAGAAGCAGTTTGTGTTTGGCTAATTACTCTGAAAAGCACTTTTGAGCAATAATTTGTGTTTGGCCAAGCTTTTCAGAAAGTGCTTTTAAGTATCAAATTACGAATAAGAACATGAATATATTTACTTTATACTTAATATTATAAGTAAATAAATAATCTCAAAAATTTGTTATTACATGCAATAATTAAATCTTTTCATTTTATTTAAGTAAAATATGAAAATAAAATTAAAAAGTACTTAATTCTTTTAATATAAGTTAAATATATTAAAAATCATTCAACAAATATAAAAGCATTCACCGCTAAAGTCACTATATATTAGAAAGCTATCCTAAAAATAAGAAGAAATATTTATACATTAATATCCTACGTATTAGGTTTAACGATTATTTGGTATATACTATATTTTGTTAAGCGCATTTTTGGTAAGAAGAAAAGTCAAAACTGCTTCTGCTTCTGCTTTTGGGAAGAAGCTACTTTTTTCTGCTTCTCAGAAACTGCTTCTGCTTCTTCCCAAAAACATTTTTTTTCCTCAAAAAAAACTTGGCCAAACACCTCAAGTTAGGGAAAAAAGTGCTTTTGGGAAAAAAAAGCACTTTTGGCCTCTTGAGAAGCTTGGCCAAACAGGCTATAATACTAGTTGTATGTACATTTTTTTTGTTTTTTGTGAGACAAGAAGAGGCTCACACAACTAATGTCAGTTGTGTGAGACACACAATAAAATTTTTCAATCAGAATATGTCACATACCGATTATTTTGTTCTTGTGCACCTCCTTTTGGTACTGATCAAGCTTAATATTTGCTTCTCTACATATTTCAATCAGCTTCTTAGATTTAAAGTGATTTATGCATCTATTCCAATAATACTATTGTTCCGTACCATTATGGAAGAAAATCCGAGTAAACCTGCCTTGCCTCTCCAAGAAAGCTTTGCTTGGTAGGCTTTGCCTACTCGGACAATGCATACAAGAACCCAAACTGCGGATATTCAAAACAAAAAATAAAGTCTCTCCAGTTATCAAAAATGGAAAATAAGCTATGGAGATTTCGTGCAATCAGAAATTAATACAGACACAAAGAGTTTTAGGAGGAAAGTCGTTTTGATCCAATCCATTCTTGGAATAAATCACATTCCACTTGTACCATATGAACTCTTCTTCTAAATTAACATCATTTATTCCCATGTAACAAGGCTAAATTTTCGGCTTGCAGATTTTTCTTATGAACTAAAAACTGCCTATGTAAGTATTATATCATTTAGGAAAAAATCATTTAGGGAGTAAAGCACCAACAGGAAAAGAGTCCTTTTTCGTTTAGTCTTCATATTGGTACTGGGCTCAAATTCATCTTAGCCCAAACAAAATTGGGTGATTTGCACAAATAGAATATTTTGGGAGAAATGGCGTGGGGTAGCCACTATTTAAGGTTATATTTATTTTTTATCCAGCAATTCTAATGTTGAGCAAAAATAACAACTACTCTATTAAAATTAATATGAAAAGACATTTTTACCCTTTCTTCCATTGCTTTTCTTCCCAAACCCTCGCTTCTCTCTCAAGTTCGATACTCACTCGTTTTTCGTTTTCTTTCCAGGTGATATCCTAGTTTCAATTTCGTTTTCTTGCATTAGCAAAAGCTTGGCTGATCTGTTGCCGAAGATCAACCAAGCAATGGCTTCGCATAAGTGGCTTCCCCAATGTGTAGAAGAAACCTTTTGCTACTGCAACTACTTGTAATGTCTTCCCATTGCATATCTTAATCTGCAGAGAGTTTTGGCATCATCAAAATCCGAACAAATGCAAAACCAGAAGAAAAGAAAGAAAATAAGGTACCTGTAATTCGAAATAGTCGTCATCTCGCCTTGCTTTAACATCGTTACAATCAACTCTTTTCAAAGATAATTGTGTTAAGGACATGTAGTCCTAAAGTTAAATTCAAAAGTTAAGGACATGGTCTTGAACTTAAAGTTTCAAGTTCAAAAGTTAAGGAAATGTAGTCCTAAAGTCCTAAAGTTAAGTTCAATAGTTAAGGACACAAGTTCAAAAGTTAAGGAGAGACAGTCCTTAACTTACGGTTACAAGTTCAAAAGTTAAGGACAATATGTCCTTAACTTTGATTTCCAAGTTCAAAAGTTAAGGACAGACATTCCTTAACTTACAGTTACACGTTCAAAAGTTAAGGACAAGTCTTAACTTACAGTTACAAGTTCAAAAGTTAAGGACAATAGGTCCTTAACTTTGACTTACAAGTTCAAAAGTTAAGGACGCTTGGTCCTGAAGTTTGAGTTCCAAGTTCAAAAGTTAAGGACATGTAGCCTTGAAGTCCTGAACTTAGAGTTCCAAGTTCAAAAGTTAAGGACATGTAGTCCTGAAGTCTTGAACTTAGAGTTAGAAGTTCAAAAGTTAAGGACATGTACTCCTGAAGTTAAGTACAAAAGTTAAGGACATGAGCAGAAGGGTATTTTCGTCCGGGCAGTTAAAGTTTATTAAAGCAGTGGCTAAAGACTAAAGACATTTTAAACGGTGGCTTATAAATAAATACATGCGTTATTAGTGGCCAACCGTGCACTACCCCCAATATTTTGGGTGTCACTCTTGATTTTTTGACAAGTTTTGCCCCTCGTTTGCTCTATGAGCAACATTTTTGACCTTAAAGGTTTGAGTGGTCAAAATAGTATGGTATAGCCAGTTTTCGGACTGGTCATTCAAAAATAGTTAGCGTTTACTAAGTCAATAAAATATAGCCACTATTTTACTGCAACAGAGACCGGTCCAGCATAATATACTGGAGTTCGGTGCACCTGTGTATGAACTCCAGCATATTATGCTGCCTCGGTATACTTTGTTGGCTCCAGTATAGTATACTGGAGACTGGAGCACCGGTGCTCCAAACTCCAGTATATTATGCTGGACCGGTATACTTGTTGGAACTCCAGTATATTATGCTGGAGTTCTAGTGTACTTATCCTGGAACTCCATCATATTATGCTGGAGTTCCAGCATACTTATCCTGGAACTCCAGTATAATATGCTGGAGTTCAAGTATACTTATGCAGGAACTCCAGCTTAATATACTGGCGTATTTTTCGGGATTTTGAACAGTGTTTACGCTCAGATTTATCTTTGCATGAAAAGTGGCTAAATTTCGATTACTTTTGAAACTGGGCTATTTTTGAACGACCAGTTGAAAATCTGGCTATTTTTAAATTTCGGTCAAAAGATCAAGACAATCAATTTTCAAGGTCATTATGTGTAATTTTAAGAACAAAATTATACTATTTGTTAATGTCTTTTGAATATGGGCTCTCTAAAGTAGTGGAAGTGACACCATGTAGCCATTTTTACCTATGTTGTTTAAAGCATATTCACAGTTTACAATGTACTTAAAGATTAGCCAATTCGCTCAAACGTCAGGACATGACGTCCTCAAATTTAAACATCAAAGTTCAAACTTCAGGACATCGTGTCCTAAAGTTCGAATTATGTCCAAAAATTTGAATCTTCTATCCAGAATTTTAAATTAGCAGTTCAAAAATTCAGGACACTTAGTCTTGAATTTCAAATTAGCACCTCAAAAATTTAGGACACTTAATCCTGAAATTTAGGTGAATTGGCTAATCTTTAAATACATTATAAATTATGAATATATTTTAAATAACAGGTTTAAAAGTGCATACTGGTGCACTTCACCCCCACATAATTATGACGGGTAAATTTTAAAAATAGCTAGATTTACAACTGGTCGTTCAAAAATAGCCCAATTTCAAAAGTAATCGAAATTTAATTAGCCACTTTTTATATAAAGATAAATCTGAGCGAAAACACTGTTCAAAATCCGGAAAATACTCCAGTATATTATGCTGAAGTTCCAGCATAAGTATACTTGAACTCCAGCATATTATACTGGAGTTCCAGAATAAGTATGCTGGAACTCCAGCATAATATGATGGAGTTCTAGCATAAGTACACTAGAACTCCAGCATAATATACTGGAGTTCCAGCAAGTATATTGGTCCAGTATAATATACTGGAGTTTGGAGCACCGGTGCTCCAGTCTCCAGTATATTATACTGGAGCCAACAAAGTATACCGGTCCAGCATAATATGCTGGAGTTCATACACAAATGCACCGAACTCCAGTATATTATGCTGGACCGGTCTCTGTTGCAGCAAAATAGTGGCTGTTTTTCATTGACTTGGTTAATGCTGACTATTTTTGATTGACCAGTCCAAAAACTGGCTATACCGTGCTATTTTTACAATTATGACTGCCCAGTTGCACCATCAAGTTTCCTTTGCCCAAATTCGATTCTCTCTGTTGCGTTTACCCTATTAAAGGTCATGTCTCTATTGAATAAATATGAAAAATTATTTCTCATAGATTATTTTCTATTTTTTTATTCAATCTAAAAGAACAATTAATAACGGTACAATATGCAGAATATAATATAATTTCAATATCAATTAACAATATATAATATTGCGTAAATGCGGGTAGCTAGAAGCAGATAATATTACGATATTCGTAACAAAAAATGAAAATACTTTCATATTCTAAATTTGGCAAGTCCAGCTGAAATTGCTAATTCGGCCTAACTTAAAAGTGTATGTAACTGTGTGTAATAATTTTAATTTCTGTTAGTGGGCAAGCACGTATGACAACCTAAGCTAAAGAGCAAGCCAACTTGCTGTATTTAGATCAACAATTTTGGTGGTGTGTTATTTTTAAAGGAATATGCAAAATACATGTATAGAAGTAGAATGAGACTGGAAAATAAATTAAATCATAACTGGCAGATGAATAGATGGAAAAAATATATACACATTTTGTTTTTATTTTACACTTGCATGTAATAAACTCATTTACTTTTTTGGTTTGAAGTGTCGAGAGGTTTGAGTCTAGGTTTTGCATTACTCAAGCTGACATTCTTGCTTCCGCTTCGTCCACCATCGTTCGTGCGTCACTATACTCCAAGTCTCCAACTTGGTAGTTTTTACCGCCTTTTACAGCCAAACCTCCATTTCTCTTACCCGTTATTCCTTTCAGAGGCGGAGCTAGAGTGTCCCGAGCGGGTTCGGCCGAACCCAATAGCTTTAGTTCGAATTCTGTATTTATCTTTAAAATTCATTAAATATATAAGTTATTAATTTAGATCCCAATAATTATTCCGAACCCATAAACTTGAAATTCTGGCTCCGCCTCTGATCCCTCCTGTTTGGCTCTAATACAATTGAAACTTCGTAATTGACTAGTTGTAATTGGATTTCAACTATTGGTGAGGTGGTCATACCTTCCTTCCTACTTTTTACGTTTTTGCCAGATTAATGAATAGCTGAAAAGTTTGTTGAAAAGAAGAGAAACTAATACAATAACATAGCAATAAATCTATAGTAGTAGTAATTAAGAATGGCTGATTACCAAACGAACTCTTTTAGTACTGTTTTTCATTTAGAGGCAATTCCTTATAGAGTAAAATGATATAATAGACTTTATGGTTAAATGGGCCAAACTCCACAATTTTGTAACTCATTTAATTTGGCAGTAATAATTGGGCATATGCATGAAAATCTCCTAAAATGTGCCAGCCCTATTGGCTATTGCATGTTTTTATGTTGAACCAATATAATCGGTGCAACGCTCGGTTGTCACGTTAAAATTATTTACGCGTTTGGTAAACACACAAAAATACTTATAACTTGAATTCGTCCCCGATTGGTTGGCGGTAGGGGTAACAATTTGAGCTTAAATACATTTGACCCACCCGCCCAAAGTTCGTTTGGTGATTGACCAGCTCATTTGTTGAACTCAGCCCACCTTGATCCATTTCATCTCAACCCATCAAAAGTTGATTTGATTTTTAGCCTAAACTGATCCATGAGTAACTCTGCAAATAATTTTCTTTTTGTTGATATATTATATATATGACCACAACAAAAGAAAAAGAGTATTGTTTGATAATAAAATAATTCATAAGAAAACAACACACATTAATTAAAGCTTGATAAGAGTTGGGCGGGTTTGACTATGATCTAAATTTAACCCATCTTAACCCAGTTCATCTCATCCCAAGTAATATTTACGCGGGTCATTAACCTGCTTATTAATTAATTCACTCTATTTTAATTCGCCTAAGATTAATTCAACCCGCCCATTTGACACTCTAAGCAGCGGAGTAAAGGCCATATTGTGATTTTTCAGTTCTATATGCAAATCTGGGTGCACAAAACAAAAGGCCAGAGCCTCTGGTAACAATATAAGTACAATAATAGTAGAAACAAGAGAACGAAATGAAATATTTAAAAAGTTCTTTTTTTTGTAGAGAAGTGGCGTAAGACAATTCAGAGTTTGCCGCAGAATTCAGTGTTTGCAGTTAAATTATATATGCCTAAAAAGAATTACTACCAAAATTTAATTGATTCAACTTTTAACGTTCTTTAACACTTGATATAATTTTTAAAATTATGAGTTCAACATTTTGATATTTGTTAAAATTTTAGTGACTTTTCTCTCTCGCTCGCGCACACATGCACGTATATTTTGAAAAAGAATATTGGGTTCAGTTAAACATGTTAAGTTGCTAATTGAAGCTACTTCCTCCGTCGCATATTATCTGTCATGATTCTTTATACACGTCCCTTAAGAAAATTAGTTAGGATGAGATTTTGACTACTTTAACCTTATTCATGTCTTAATATTTAATCTCTCTTCGTTGAATATTTTCTCAATTTATGTTTCAGATGGTAAAAGTTGTTAGGATTCCAGTGTTTGTTGATCGCATTTGAGTATAAGATAAAGTGTTTAAGAAAACAAGGTTTACTTATTGATATTTGAACAAAGTTATCCATAAGGTGTTTGTATTCTTCAAGGATAATTATTACTAAGGGCAAAAAAGAAAAAAAATAATCAATTTTATCTTGAACTTCTAAGATGACAAATAATCTGAGACAACTTTTCTTAATAACCACGACTGATAATATGAGGCGGGAAGAACATTCACCTGTTTATGGATAGTATAATTAAATATATTTCTTAAGAGTTTCCAATGTCTCAATTTTAAATCAACTTGACTAAAATCAAGAATAATTAGCACTAGTAATTAAGTACTTTTAGCTAGTAGTACGTATTACTAGAGACTAGAGTTAGGAGTAGTATATATTTCCATGTGACTTGTACATCAACTTACTTCCTATTCTTGTTTTAGGGAAGAAATTCATATAACAAAACTAACAAAGAAAATGTGTATAGCAGTGTTCATTTGGCAAGCTCACACTCAATATTCATTTTTGTTATTGCTTAACAGAGATGAATATCACAATAGGCCAACAAAGGCTGTCCATTGGTGGGAAGGTGAAGAAATTGTTGGTGGCAGAGATGAAGTTGCTGGTGGCACTTGGTTAGCTTCTTCAAGACAGGGTAGAGTTGCTTTTCTCACTAATGTTTTGGAACTTCATGCCCTACCTCTAGCCAAAAGCCGAGGTGACCTACCTGTCCGTTTCCTACAGGTATATACACCGTCAGTTTAAAGAATATTTACACTGTCGAGTATTAGGGTTGAAGGTTAGGAGATTGTCGAGCGTTTTCTTCTTTGTACCGGGAAGTGGGCTAGTCTGATAACGTTTTATCTTGGACCGTTAGTGGCTTATGTTGTGTTCACACTATTTTTCTGTTTTTCATAGTACTGTGACATTATTACTGGTTATTGTTATTGCTTTTCCATCTATTTCTTGTCTCTTACGATATTATTTTTCTACTTTCTGTGGCTGCTATGGATCTACTGTCCCTTTTCGTCTTCTTGAGCCGTGGGTCTTTTGGAAACAACATCTCTACTCCTTCGGAGTACGGATAAGGTCTACGTACACTCTATCCTCCGCAGACCCCACTTATGGAATTTTAATGGGTTGTTGTTACACTATCTGTTAACGTAATATTTGTTGCAGTAGATTGTCTATCTTGTTCCGTCAAGAAATCAGAATTGTCATGAATTTGTGACTATGATTTCAAACAAGGTGATGTTGATTATATGAAAGCAAATTTTGATATTGAAGTTTTGTTGGGTATTTTGCAGAGCAGAAAAGGTCCAATGGAATTTGCAAAAGAGTTGGTGAATGAAGGGAATGAATACAATGGATTTAATTTGATATTAGCAGACATTGAAAGTAAATCAATGGTGTATGTATCAAATAGGCCCAAGGGAGAGCCCATGGTTATACAAGAAGTCCATCCAGGTGTTCATGTGCTCTCCAATGCAAAGCTGGACTCTCCTTGGCCCAAGGTTAGTAGCAATAAGGATATACTTACCCCAGGATGGAATATGGAATTGTATTCAATGGCGGATGTAGCACTACGCTTTCAATTGAATCTATAACCTTTAAGGCGGAACATAAATTTAGGCGTAAAAATTTGTTAAAATTGTAAGAAATAGTAAATATGAACCAATAACTTTGAAAATATGATGGGTTCAATGTTAAAAACATCAAATATTGAACCCATAAAAATTAAAATTTTGGATCCGCCTCTGATTGTATTTATTTCGTATTTGGTTGAGAGTATTTGTTAGAAAAATAATGGGATGAAATAATCTGGCTTCGATAGTTTAATCACTGTCCTTAAGGAATTAAAGCTTCTCACTTTATTGCTACAGGGATAATAGCAGAATTATTCTAGGATTTTACAAAACCTCTGAAATTCGAATTTCAGCAATTAACTCGAATTTCTCACAAGAACAGAATATTTGTGAGTCGTAAAAAATAAGTAGAAGAGAAAGAGATGGAAATTTCAAATGTTAGATAATATGGGTATTTATAATACATTTAGGAGTCTGCTGGAATTAACAGACTCATCTCTTCATAACAGGCACCTTTAAAATCAATAGTCACCTTTTTTGAATTTTAAAAATTGTTAAAAAAACGTTTTTCTGAAATTCAATTAAAAAACATTTTTAATTAATTAATAAAATAATATAGTCAAATTTCAATTTTCCTCCAAAACATCCTTAAAATATTCAAACTATATAAGACAAAGAAATGCTTTTAAACACTTCTTCCTTTCTTTCTTTTCCCAATGAGGGACAAAACAACGTCTTCTCAAATACTCCATCAAACACTAACTAATATCTAACAGTATTAGCTAGTGGTGGGATAAATTTTATACCAAAATGGTGGGATTAGCTATCCCATACACAGACCTCTCTATAACCGTCATCTTTGATTGTAGAGTGGGATATCTAATTCCATGGGATATTATTCTTGTCTATCCCATTTGATAACCAAACTACACCTTATAGGATTAGGACTATAGGCAATTTGAAGTTTATTTTGTGCTCTTGATTGTGAATTTCAGGCTCAAAGATTGAAGTTGAGTTTTAAAACAATGCTGGATGTATACAAAACAAGTGAAAAATGCATTTGCGTCAAAGAGATGATAGAGAAGTTGATGAGGGACACAACCAAAGCAGAAAAAGACAAATTACCTCGTATTTGTTCTCTGGATTGGGAGTTGGAACTTAGCTCCATATTTGTCGAAGTAGACACTCCACTGGTAATTTTCTTTTTGAAATTAAATAATCAATTTTCATTCATCCTATTCTTTAGAATAAGTCTGCGTAACTGGTAAAGTTGCTGGTAAAGTAAAATTGAAGCGGAGCTTTGGTGTAACTGGTAAAGTTGTTGCCATGTGCAGGGGCGGATTTAGGGGGGCGCAAGGGGGTTCACCCGAACCCCCTTCGCCGAAAAATTACACTGAATATATAAGGCAAAATCTGGTTTTTATCTCTATCTATTAAGTTTTGAACACCCTTGACACAACCCTAAAGTGTAGTTTAGTGGTCAAGGGGGTTCAAAACCTTTATAAGGTCACAGGTTCAATTCCCACTAGCCACAATTTTTTTTTGAACCCCCTTCGTGGAGATCCTGGCTCCGCCACTGGCCATGTGACCAGGATGTCACGGGTTCAAGTCGTGGAAACAACCATTTGCAGAAATACAAGTAAGGCTCTATACAATAGACCCTTGTGATCCGAACCTTCCCCGAATTCCGCGCATAGCGGGAGCTTATTGCACCGGACAGCCCTGCCTATTCTTTAGTCTAAAAATATTTTCATAACCTTTTTCTTGTTGTGGTATAAATACATAGGGATGTTATGGCACTAGAAGTACAACAGCATTGGCAGTTGAAGTGGGAGGACAAATAAGCTTTCATGAAATGTACCTTGAGAGGAACATGTGGAAAGAGCAGATTGTTAGCTATTGGATTGAAAAGCTCCAACTGCAATAGACTGTTGGATTTCATATATTTGTTAGACAATTGGATGTTGAAATATGTTATATTCTCATGTTTTCTTTTCAATTAAAAATAAGATCAAATGAATATTGTCTTTGTATTCCATTTGCAATTTGTTTTTCATTTTTATTTTTCGTTGAGATTTTGTTATTATTTAATATCTATACTTGTAATCAAGCAAGGATATTGTTCTCTTTTGACCATTTCTATACGTTACATTCTCCTTCAAGTCTGTGCCAAAAATTAAAACTTCTTTGAAACTTCACACTCCAATAAAATGTTTATTTTTTTAACCGATCGGTTATAT